CAAGAACTATACTGTGTTCATTCATATTGTGGCCCATGTAATGAAAATTTTGGACCCCATTAAAATAACATATCCCATTAGAGGATATTCATATTTAGAATGCGACAAAAATATGAGCCCGATCAATTTTAAAATTCAATGGAAGTCTCATAGCAATGGTATGACTTGCTAAAAATAAGTCGCCAAAGACCTAAACCCTCTGAAATTATTGAAGTGGGTAAGGGTGAAATTGTATTGGTAAAAACATGTAAAAGTGCTCTTTTCCAATCCAGGCCCAAAGAGAAATAAGGAGTGTGAGAGAACATCCAAGGTTCATTCTTCATCGAGGCAACTATAATGGTTTATGGGAGAAGTCACCCATATTGAATGAGAGAAGAGCAAATCAATCGGGATGTAGCAATGAATTTGAATTGCCTGTATTTGCCTACCAAGATTATTTGCCCATTACTGCAGACAAGCACAAAGACCTTATGACTTAAAAAGATTTTGTTCTGTTGAAGCACAAGCCTATTTTGAAAGCATTACTCATATATAGTACCAGATTTGGACATTCCCTGTATGGATTATATAGGAAATTCCATGTTTTAGTACTTTACAAAAGTTAATTACTTTTATTTTTAAAATTTTACATATTTGTTAATATTTGCCAAAAGATTTTTTGTATCCACAGCTGATCTCTATAAGGTAAACTAAAGTTCCTATTAGTAGTTTTTAAGCAATTAATATGTAAGACAAAGTTATAAACTTTCAAACATTAAAATGTTAATTACACAAAAACCTGTTTTAGTGACATTCCTTGTTTTGCCCCTGTACCCTTCATATAAGCTCACGGCTATCGGAAAGGAAGCTTACGCTGTTGTAGAGTCATAAAGGAAATGGCGCAATTTCTTAATCGGTAAAGAATTTAAACTTATCACAGACCAAAGATGTGTCTTTCAGTTTTAATACTACACATAGTAGTAGTAAACAAAAAGTTAAAAACGTTGGTGTGTTGAATTATCACCATTAAAATTCGATATCGTTCAAAGACCTGGAAAACAAAATTTTGCTGCTGACGTCGTATCTCGTTAGTTGAATACTTACCATCCGCAGAGAAACAAACAGGGAAGCTGAATGCGACACTGTGGAAAACGATTATGAAACTGGGAGAGAATATTATCTCAAGTGCACATCCACATACTCCACAACACACGAACTTAAGTTCACATACCGTTGGAGATCTGCAATGCTGTTTCGATATGACTCTCAAGTTCTGGTGAAACTGTCTTGATGATAAAAGTTAATTGAATTAATTCTACCCATAACACGAACTCGAACGTAAACTTGTAAACTCGAACCTGCATTATTCTTTGGTGCGTTGGACGGATGGTAGAGACTGAACTTGACGGGCAAGATGAAAATGAGACAACAGTAAGAAGTTTGGAAACTTTGAACGGGGTTAATGAATTTCTAATTTTCTAAGTTTTTGATCTAAGTGATGTTGATAGAGCGTAATTGATTTTGAGTACATTGATGATATTCTCATTTTATTAATCGACTTCAAAAAGGATTAATAAAATGGAATTTATGTGTGTTATCTCATAACTTTTTTCTCGGCTAACCGATTTTGATGATTTGAAAACTGGTGTTTTTCATGTTTCATCAAGGTGTAACCAGTAGTTTTTGAGTTATCCTTAATAATTTATATTGAAGTCGGTTGTACAAAACTTTTAATTTTATCACTTATTATTTTTAGACATTTATTATAGTAATGAGAAATAAAAAAAGACAAAAATAAGTGTATCGATGTCGATTTTATCAACAATCGACATCGATTGTTGTGACATTGAGAACGAAATCACTATAGATTAAAAACATGACCTTTGGACGCATTCATACTTAGATAAATCATCATACTGTATGATACTACTCCAAGCATTCACAGAGTCAGCAGCACCATCTTTAAGTTTTTTTTCCTGCAAAATTTTTAGGCAGCTGTCAATTTCGCACTCGGGTGAGAGCTCCAGTACACGTTGGTCAAGCGCGCTTGGCGAGCGCGCTCGGCAAATTTTCGTGGTGCAGTTCACACGTTGGTGTGTTTCATTCTGCGTTGGTAGCTAGATGATGATGGACGTTAGGGTGTTTTTATGTTGCTCATGTTTGGGATTCCATATAACTGTTTCATTGTGATAAGAATCAATGAACTTAAATATTTCCTCATTAGTCCATGTCGCCATGTTCGTGAAACAATTTTATTAGGCCTACAGTCTACTCCGAAGCGTAACTATAAACTGAATACTCGGCCAACGTGTGATCGCTGTTTGCGGATTGCGCCAAATTTCTTTGATTTGTGCACGGAAAACCGACACTATATTGCTTGTCGGCGAGTGTTGGCCGCAAACGCCAAATACGCACAAAACGGCCCAGTACACGTTGGCCGAACGCACTCTGCTATCGCGTTCGGCCGTGTACTGCTACCTTGAGCTTTCTAGCGATTGTAATATGACAGAATGCATTATTATTACTAGATCCATAGTAATAATAATGCATTCTATTGTTCACGCGTTGGCTCAAGGACAATGTATGATACTGTTTATCTAGAGTTTTGATTAGAAAGGATTTGGTGGTTCGTAGACGAAGAAACGCGTCCACGCACCAGAAGCAAGACAAGTCTTGCAACACTGTCCATAAACGTCTCCAAACGTCCACCGACGTCCACAAGCAAGACAAGTCTTGCAACACTGTCCATAGATAATACACATATTTATACATATTTTTATATTTTTGTACGTGGTAGAACCATGCTGCAACTATATTATGGTTGTAGCACAAATGGGTCAGCTCGACCGGGAAAGGACGTGCCTTACAGAATACCAGCGTGAAATAGCAGCTTAACGCTGCTGTGTTTCGTATGGTGAGTGTAGAGAACCAGAGACCCTCTTTACTGGTAACGAGGCTTTCTTAGTCCTCAGGGGTGATAACGCGTCTATATTTTGAACCTTTTTAGTAGGTAGGTATCTATGGACGACAGTATCTACTTACCATCACGTGGTCTGTGTCTCGTTTGTCAGCCTTATACTTAAAAAATAACCATTTAAACGACGCTGTCTCTCTCTCTCTCTGGAATTTGTTGTCTTGGCATAAACCAACAGCCGACGGATACTGATAAACTTGTCTCGAGACCCAATTCTTGTATGGAGGCATGAAAAGACTATGAGGCCATGTCTCGATGCAGTGATTTAACATAAATTAATTTATACTTGTGCAAACGAAGCTTTTCCGATACCTAAACACTAACATCCGTATTTTTAAAAACATGCTAGTTCCGGCCAGGGTTGCTAGAAGTGATAAAATTGCTCAACGTTGCCAGGAGAAAGGATTTCTTTAGGGTGACCTAATGAAATAAAAAAGGATATCTTATATTTATAAAATATTTTGTGTTAATATTGTAATGACAAATGAGCCGACAGTTCTTCATCAGCCTGTAAAATTCCATTGCTGGATATGGGCCTCACTCGTTGAAGAGAGATTTGCATAACACTTTTGGCAGGAGGCTTAACGATCACAGTATCAGACGTCTAACACATTTGACGCTGTTCTCCGTCCTTGGTCAGGGTATTTTAGGCCAGGCGTAAAGAGATGATTACACCAGCATCTATCATAAGCCATAAGAACATTTTGGCTTAGCCCATAGTCACCTCTTAACGAAACCACTGGACGTTTATGAATTATCTTACGCCGGCTACACACGGTGAAAGCAGTTCACTTGGTAAGTGGCTACTGCATCTTTTGAGCACCTGCAATCAAACCTGCAAAGAAGGCCTCAGATTCCATGCCATACCTTAGATCTAAAATGCATTACAGCTTTTAATTATGCTTGCTTTCTTACCCTTCACACTGGAACACAGCTGCAGGAGGGGCAGTATTGTTGCCTCGCTGCAGAAGTAGGCAAATTGGTATCAACCTAAACGGAATTCTGTTAATGTATATAGAATAAGCGTTAATGTATATTTTTAGGGTTCCATAGTTACACAATAAGGAACCCTTATAGTTTCGCCATGTCCGTCCGTCCGTCTGTCCGTCCGTCCGTCCGTCCATCCGCGGTTGTGCTCAGAGATCCTTGGTGCTACAAATCTGTAATTTGGCGTAGTTATAGATATTAATCACGCCTAGAAAACTGTGAAATAAAATCTTAAAAAACATTTTTAGTTTGGGTACTTCCCATACAAGTAAAGGGAGGGTGATTTTTTTTACCCGTATATTCCATCATGTACGGTATCGTTGGATAGGTTTTTCAAAAACATTGTGAGTGTGGAACAACATCTTTTCGATTCAGGGGTCTGTTTGCGAAATATTTAGCTTTAAAGTGGTATTTTTCATTAGAGTCATGTGTCCTGCGGGGCGGATTTGAACTTTATGGGGCCCGGGGCTAAAATTGAGAAGGGGCCCTCTTAAGGACAGCGAAAAAGGCTATTTATCAAATATAAAAAAATCATTTATTAATTTATTATAAATTATTTATTATAAAATATTATTTATAGATACAATGAAGTACAAACAATTATTTTAAAATTCGATTAAAAATTGTTTTTCTTGATTTTGCTCTAGCAAAATCATGAATTAAGTCATCGAAGTCAATTGATCTCAATAAGTCAACTTCGATGCTTAATCTTGTTAAAGATGATAGTCTGTCGTCTGACATCGTTGATCGATACATGTTTTTTATTCTTCTCAAAACTGAAAATGATCTTTCTGATCTGAATTCGCAATTTGCGATTGGAAGTATAAGTAGTATCCTGCAAGCAATATATAGAAATACAGAAAAACTTGTATCATGTCTAAATCTACAAGCCAATTTAAAACTTTTAAGGGACACAAGATTTCATCATTTGCAATTGTGTTTTTTCCTGTACGATTGGAATAAAGCCCTTAGGCTGCTGTTTTAAACATGGTATAAATTGTTTCAATTCAACTGATAATTTTTTTTTCTAAATCGTCAGAGTAAACCTTTACGAGATTCGCTACTTTTTTTCTAATACATCTGTCTCTATAAATAATAATTGTGTGAGAAAGCCAAATAGTTGAATGATGCGATCGTATGCTTCACTCCGTTTCTGCAACTCGACAACTAATTTGTCTATAATCACATAAAATGTGTTTACTCGGAATTTATCAGCCGGGCTTAAGCTACTAGCTTGTGATTCTTTGTCGGTTAGCATTCTTGTGACCTTTCGTTTGTTTGCATCAGAATATTCTTGATCCACAAAATTACTTAGTTGTTTGGCTTGATTTTCAATGTCAGAAAATGTATCTCGAAAATCTGCCACAAAATCCACTAATGAAAGTAGCATGTTATTTGCAGAAATTAAATCTGTATCAACTTTTTGAAGGTATTGACTAGTCGCGTTAAAGCGGCTTAAAACAATTAATTTAATTGAATTTATCAATGAATTTATCAGCCGGGCTTAAGCTACTAGCTTGTGATTCTTTGTCGGTTAGCATTCTTGTGACCTTTCGTTTGTTTGCATCAGAATATTCTTGATCCACAAAATTACTTAGTTGTTTGGCTTGATTTTCAATGTCAGAAAATGTATCTCGCAAATCTGCCACAAAATCCACTAATGAAAGTAGCATGTTATTTGCAGAAATTAAATCTGTATCAACTTTTTGAAGGTATTGACTAGTCGCGTTAAAGCGGCTTAAAATATTATTCCATAGAATCGCCATAAAAAAATTTTCAAGTTTTTTTATATGTTTCAATAAAGCTTCAGCTTCTTTCCGAGTTTCGTGTTTTTGTTCTTCGTCATTCACCAAAATTTCTAGAGCCCTACAAATACCTCCATGACTCTTTACTACAACTTTTGTGGCGTCTCCGCGACATGACCATCTCGTTTTCGATAAGCTCGTTATTTTAGAATTCTCAGTGATTAAAATGTCCCACCGATGTGTTGATGCACTAAAAAATGCATATAGCTGCTGTAAAATTCCTAAGAAATTTGTAGCATCACGACATACGTCGACACTACATTCTCCCACTAAGTTTAGAGAATGGCCAGCGCAAGGCACGTAAAACGCTAATTCATTTTTTTCTCTAATACAAGCTTGAAGTCCAATATATTTACCGGAAATAGTGGAAGCGTTGTCATAGGTCTGAGCTCTGCAATTTTTAATGTCGATACCGTGCTCCTGTAGTAAATCTAATACGTCATTACTAAGCGACCTACCTTTATGACTTTTTATTTGTAAAAAGCAGAAAAAACGTTCATAAACGTGACCATCTAAGTAGTATCGGAAAATGACTGACAACTGATCGATGTGGGATATATCTGGGGTAGAATCGCGACGAGTCCCCAATATTTTGCACTGAGTATTTCATCAATAAGACGTTTTAATACTTTTGCAGCCATTAACTCTATAGATTCTTTGTTTATAGTTTTAGATAAATAAGAGACTGTACCACTGTCTTTGTGAGCACTTTTTTGCCACTAATTGGCGCTGATTTTATTCCATACAAATTATAGTTAACTTTCTCGGCATCGAGTGCGTAAAAACAACATCTCGCACTAGGCACACAGAGATATCTCTCTGTCATTACACTATCTAGCCCTTTATTGTCCCTGCCTCGTTTACTGGCGATCTGGTGAGGTCCTCGTACTCTTTACAACATTGATACGATATTTTTATAGTTTTCTTTTTTACCGCATTTTCAAATTTATTTATACGTAAGTATCAACACATTTAATTTTTCTCTTATTGTTTTCTTTAGAATTGTTATTAAATAATCTTTCATATAAATTTATTTAAATTATATAAGTAAAAAGGAAAATCACAACCTTTGGCATGAATGAATAACTCAAATTATTACGCGATAAACATTAACATTCTCTGGTAGAAATTTCCCCCAACCGTTCGCCACCGTGACCAACTGCTGCAGCGTTAGCCGCAGTTTTTCCCAATCCATTCGTTAATAATACCACTTATTTCGTTATTTCATCACATATTTACACCCGTCGTTGGCCAACAAATAGTTAACCGAAAGCAAATTAAAAATCGTAGGTAATTTTGGTTAACTTATTTTCTTTGGAAAACATTTTACTTTTATTCAAAATTCTTTGAAACAGTTTTAAAAAAAATATTTTTGATTCGAGACTGCGGGGCCCCCTCCCAAGGTGGGGCCCGGGGCTATAACCCCCCCTAGCCCCTCCTTTAATCCGCCACTGCTGCCAGCTTCTTCCAACTAAACCGCTACTTTTAGAAATGTGAAAAGTATATACAATAGTAGTACATATAATGAAGTTAAAAGAAAATCTATCACAGCTAAATAGAGTTAAGAAATTAACGAGTAATAGTCGACCAACTCATAAAATTCACTTGGATTAGTAAAAATTTCGTTACAACTTCATAGAAAATGACCTAAAACTAGCTGCATTAATTTATTATGACGGGCAACTACGGAACCCTATCTCTACTCTTTTGGCCTTTTTGGCTTGGCCAGTTTTTTATTTATTGTATTTTTTTTATTTTTATTTATAGTATTATTTAATATAATTTATGTTACATTTTGTAGATTATTTATAGTAGTAGTAGTATTGTATGCACTAAGTTTGCCTTTTTAATGTATTTTCCTTCGTCCTACTGGAACATAAGAAATATGAAACTGTTTCTATATCTTGTAGTATGTACATAAGTAAAGAATTAAAAAAAGTAATTAAAAAATATCACGATATTTTATACTGATAACAAATTCTTATATAAAAAAAATTTCGAGTGATTTTCTGCACCCTTCGTAGTAATGGCTGCTTTTTCAATTTCCTTTTGTAACCACATTGAAAAACCAAACACTGAGATCAAATATCGAACAGTAATAAACTGAACACCTGGCAAGCTTGATTCTCGCAGTAATTTATCTGCATTGATATGCTACAGTCTAGATGCATTACATGTAGACAAAGTTCCACATTTGGTACGATCTTTCTCGAATGTTGGCATGAATATCTCGTAGTCCTTGGCATTAATATCTCATAGTTTTTGTTAGGAAGCTAAAGCGCGTCGCCCACCGATGTAACGTAACGCGTGATCTGACGCGTGATTTGACGCGTAACTTGTCACTCGCCTCAAAGCGCGGCGCCCACCTAAGTAACGTAACGCGTGATCTGACGCGTGATTTGACGCGTAACTTGTCACTCGCAATTAGCGTAGCGCAAGCAGCGCCCATTAGCGTGGCGTGACGCCGCATGACGTGACGTGCCATTCAGCTTGCTACTAGTGACGCATCGAAGTGGCGCGTAACACGTAACTTGCAGTGACTTGTCTATACAAAATGAAAGACGACCTAGCTTTTTTTCTTTTCATGAAAGGCCATGGATACAATATGATTGTTCTAGACCCGATTACATTAACAGGAATTCGCAAGATACTTCTTGCAACTTATAGTGACTTGCCTATGCAAATTATAATTCTAATTCCTTCATAGCATTGAAAGTCACACCAATTTTCAATTTTTTTCCTCAATGCATGTACCCGAAATCTTTTGCTGGCACTTGGAATGTTTGAAATCTGTAGCATAGCAAGGGCATGTTTATCTTCTTCAGACGACATTTTGGCTCAAACTGAATTCTGCGATATGCTATTGTTGCACAGGTTGGCGCAAGCAGTGTCACCCGTGGTCACGTCAGAGTATCGTCAGAATCATGTTACAAGCCATGTCGAAATCATGTACTAGGGCTGCACTAAAAGTATCGGGAATGGAATATTTCCACTGTTCCTGTCATATTAATTTTTTTTAATTGAAAAGTCCTTGGTTTTAAAAATCGAATACCATTTATTTATTTAAAAAAAGATTCTCGGTCTTGTCACAAGGTTTTGTCAAATTTGTTTAGTCATTGAGAAAATGGAATTGACTCGAGAAAATTCAAGAGCGATGATTTATTATGACTTTCGAAGTGGTTTAACACAAAAACAGTGTGTTGACCGGATGATTTCTGCATTTGGTGATGAAGCCCCATCTAAAACCACAATTTATCGCTGGTTTGCTGAATTTCAACGTTGACGTGTCAAGCTCAGTGATGATCCCCGTCAAGGTCGTCCAAAGACTGCAGTCACCCAAGAAAACGTTGATGCTGTGCGTAAGCTGATTGAGGAAGATCGACATGTGATATACCGCGAAATTCAGGCAACTTTAGACATTGGCATGAGTCAAATACAAATAATCTTGCATGAACAATTAGGTGTAAAAAAGTTGTTTTCTCGATGGATACCGCATTCGCTCTGTGAAGAGCAAAAAGCGGCTCGCGTTACTTGGTGCGTCAGAACTCTCGAAAGATTCCACGCAGGATCCTCAAATGCTGTATACAACATCGTATCAGGTGACGAATCCTGGATATACGCGTACGAACCCGAAACAAAAAGCCAGTCACGAGTTTGGGTGTTCGAAAATGAGTTAAAGCCAACAAAAATTGTTCGTTCACGGAGTGTTGCAAAAAAAATGGTGGCCACGTTTGTCTCCAAAACCGGCCATGTTACGACTATTTCTCTTGAGGGACAAATATCGCTTAGTGCAGAATGGTATGTTAGCATTTGTTTGCCACAGGTCGTTTCTAAACTCCGTAAAGAGAACTGCAACCGCCGCATCATCCTCCATCACGACAATGCGAGTTCTCATACCGCACACAGAACAAAAGAGTTTTTAGAGCAAGAAAACATAGAATTATGAGACCATCCGCCGTACAGCCCCGACCTAAGCCCTAATGATTTCTATACTTTCCCTAAAATAAAGAAAAAATTGTAGATTGAAGATTGGACAGAGATTTTCATCACCTGAAGAAGCTGTGGACGCCTACAAAACGGCCATTTTGGAGACCCCAACTTCCGAATGGAATGGTTACTTCAATGATTGGTTCCAATCGTATGGAAAAATGTGTCAAATTTCGCGGAGAATACTTCGAAAAGCAATAAATACATTTTTAAATAGTAATGTTGTGTCACTTCCTTGATTCCCGAAATTTTCAGTGCCGCCCTCGTAGCTTAGGTGGACGCCGCGGTTATAGGTCACAGAACACCTAATAATTATAGCGGAATAGAAATGCCTTTGTTTCAATTTACTTGCGATACCACTGCCGCCGCTAGTCTCCCCACTCCTTGCAGGTAGTTAACACACTCAACTCATATACGCTAGTGCTTGACAAAAAACTATCGTAAAATTTCGACACGGAATAATGTGGGTAATAAATATGTGACAAAATAAAACAGTTTAATGATATAATATGAAATGTAAATTTAATGAAATAAACTTAATGTTATAAAAAAGCGTAAAGTAGAAAAAATAATTAATTACAAGGAGTAAAATTTATACAGTAAAATAGAAAAAAAATTAAGACATTTTCATCATTTAAAAAACAAAATATATATTGAAATATGTATGTATTTATACTTACTTACTTACTTACTTATCTTCACGCACAATTCCTGACGGGGTAGCCAGAGAGAACAGATCGCCAAGTGTCACGATCCTTACAAACCTCTTTCGCTTCTTTCAGATTCATTATCTTCTTCATGCATGCACGTCTAGGTATCCGAGTACTCTTGACCCTACCCTCTTCGAGCAATTTGCTCACATGGTCTTCGAAAGTTAGTCT